ACAGAGGGCCCATGGAAAAAACTAGATGTGTACATTATAGAGAAACAATGGAAAGTACTTCTACAAATAAGAATTACAATAGTCTATTTTGTGTACTGCTTGCTTAAAGCTACATGAACATTATAACCAAAGCCCTTTTTATACTTACTACTTTTGTCAAGAGAAGAGGAAATAAACCTAGTTTACTGCTAGAGGTATAAAGGCAGGGCCATGCTTACCATGCACCATAGTTACAGAAAATAACATCTCCTCTTCTTAGAGCAGATGATGATCTTTCTTATAGCTCAGTAATGCCAAAAGGCTAACTATTCCTCAAGCCTGCTTTTTTCTAAGCAATTTAGAGGTTTACCATTGCTGATTATGATCTCAAGTTGAAAGCATGCTGGAGGACAGAAGACTACAGTAAGGAGAAATCTCAGCTGCAGTTTTCCTAAAACCTGGTCAGGAATGGGAGAATAAAGTAGAACTTGTCAACTCAACTGTGGAGCGCTCTCTCATGATTCTGTTCAAGGCATCCGTTTTTCACAACCTCTGCTGTAAAACATTTTGATCAAAACTATGTTTTTGGTCAATGAAGTAGCAAATAGGTCTTTCAGTGCAATTCCCTATTTGAGAAGGATTTTGTTAGCAATTGGCTGAGCCAATTCCCACTCACAATAACAGCTGTGAACCCTGCTGAGGGCATCTGTTGGGTAGTTAATACTTGTTGGGAAGTATCTTGCTTTAAGTGTGTTTTGTTTACAAAAGGAATTCCTACGCTTTTTAACACGGTGTTAAAGATATTGCGCCTCCTGTTTGTTTACATATAATGGTCGATCCATGTTGTCTTTGTTCACTCGTACTGATTTTCCTCCCTACAGGGGGCTAACATATCGAAGGACTTTTTTGATTGCCTTCAAGTTTCAATTGAGTTATAATAATAACAGCCTAGATATAGAAAGGTTATTATTAAATGAAGTGTTGCAAGAGACTGCTGGCCCAATTTGTTCCTTTCTAGCCAGCAAAAATAACGGAGAAACGTCATGGAAGCTAAAATTTAAATGGATGTCAGAGTAAGCAGGACCTACACGAATAGCTTCTGCACTGGTAGTCAGAGCAGAACAGTCACCTCTCCTCCTGCGGCTATCACTTTTTAAGGAGCACTGTCCACCCAGATTCTACTGCCCCTTTGCATGGACTCCGTGCTAAATTCCTTTGCCCTGCAGGGGCTGTTGGAACCATGTTAATGCTTTGAGACGTATGAAGGGATGCAAGTGTGAAACAGATGCAAGCCTCTTTCAAGTTATCTCGCCAATATAAAACCCAGGAATACAGAGCTCTGCAAAAGTGGGAAAAGAGGTCACGTCAGAGTATCTTTGTTAACAGCACACCTTCAAAGCCTCTAAGTCTATCCTGTCATTTAAACAGTAAGCCCTTCCCCAAGCCTGACTCACCATCATTCATGTGGTAAATATGCAAACAAAGGTGGTTCAGGCATGAACATCCCCAACCTCCAGCGACGAAGGAACCCTCCAGTGCACCCTATATGAGCAAGGCGGAGGTGCACATCAGGGTAGGGATGGAGGCTGATCCCAGGAACGCACTGCCTAGCTCACTAGCAGAAAAGATCTGAGGCCGGTTCTTCCTCAAAGTAATCTGAATGCCTTGAAACAGCAGTAAGGTTGCAGAGGAGTATGGGGACTATACTGCTTGGGCCTACTCTCTAACATGCATAAATGGGCATAAGTAAGAGCAGTATGTAGGTAAATCATCTCCTCTTTGTCTACAGAAGTTGACCCTCCATGACTAACAGCTGTTTAACTACTACGTATGTGAATATTAAAATTGTTGCTTAAATACCTGCAGAACTGGTGTCCAGTCTGAAAAGGTTCCCGACTGCAAAGTTCCCTCTTGCAGACACATTTTAAAAGGAGACTGAAAAATGTTCAGGCTTGCACTCTCTTGTGGACACAGGGTAGGAGGACATTTATAATACAGGTTGGCTCAAGTGGATGCTGCTCATCAAGATAATACATGCTTCCTAGGTATGTACAAAAGCAATGGCATGTTTTTGGACAACCACTCAGAAATTTTAGGATGAAAAGAGGAGATACCACACAGCTGGATTCTGATGGTATGCATCAGCAGGCTCAGTTTGAACATAAAAACACTGTTGTAAACACTCACATTCATGGAAGAGTGCTACAGATTTAATGTTAAGTATGCAAGGATTTAATTTTGGCTTCCATTTGCAAACTAATACCTCATGTAGTAAAATGTTTTCCAGCAGTTACATGAACATGTAAGTTTAGAATAGCAGCAGCAGAAACTAGTACTCCTTTTTTGCAGGATCTCTCCTTTTCCTTGTGTTCTTCCATCAAACTACATCAGAAATCCAGTAGGTGTTTAGCTTATATGCTTACTTAACATGGTCCAAACAGGTCAGTATTGTTGCGTATGTTACTTTGGTGAAGACACATTTCCTGTTCACATCTTGCTCCTCCATCCTATCCCAATTCTGAAATTGTTTTCCAAATATGCTTTCAAAGAGACATGATTACCATTTCAGAAATACATATCTGACATAGCAGCTCACAAAAGTAAATGTTTATTTAATACCAAAGGAAGCTAAGCTCCTTCTGGGTGTCACTTGCAGATCCAAGGACTAAATCTGTGCTTATGTTTAAGTTGATCTGGTACTCCAGACTTATTCCTGACATACACTGATGTGAAATGACAACAGAATGAGATTCTTATGAAATAATTTATTCACCGGCACACAAGACACATTGCCATTCTAGTCTGTTTTAAGAGCCAGGGATTGTGATGGTACTTAGCTTACTTGGTAGTGAAATCCACAATGCATTAAAGCTTTCTACTGAAAGACGTCATATTATAATACTTAAATTCTGTATTGATATTGTTACCTGTAAACCACTGAATTGGTAGTGCTACCACTTTACAGGGCTGTGGCCAAGTGACATGAATGAATAGAAAGCAGACTTTCCTGGTATACATAGTTTTGCAGTGACTAAACCTCAAAAGCAAGGTAAGTCACCTGAATCAGACTTCCACAGTCTTCAAAATAAAGTGCTAGCTGAAACTAGACCTTTGACATATATTGAAAACACTCGGAGAAAGCAAGCGCTCTAGAGAATTGACTTCGCTTTTGAAGGGCTTATTATCTGTGTATAGGATTTATACATTTGCTATCACACTAACCTCACAGTCTTAATGCTGAGGATTAATATACATACACTACAAATTCTGTACACATGGATACGACCGTATCTCATACAGCTGTAATACAGCAACACTATCACTTTCGTACTGCTAGTTTAATTTCTGATTTTTTCTCATTTTCTGCCTGATGTCAAATATGTGATGTATAGATTGAAGGATGACCAACTCTAAGCTTTTGCTGATCTACTGAATCTTATGCATATGGCTGCAAGCTCACAAGGTGCAAGACAAAAAGGTCTGAAGAAAACATCACCAACATTTCAGAACAAATGCACACTGGTGACTTTTCTTAATTGATTCAAAATAATTACCACTTATTGGGGAAAAATAGAAAATTAAAGCAAATCAGCAACAAAAATATCACAGGACTAAACTAAAAATATAAACCAAGAGTGTCTTGCCAAAATCACATAAAATGAAGAAAGGCTTCTGCTGATATGCAAGAACAGTGACATCTTGTGGGGGTTTTACAGAAGTGAGTTTACAGAGGGACAGAGCAAACTAGTCTACAATGTTGTGTAATTAAAAGAAACACTACTGCAGTAATTCATTTAATACATATACCATTAATAATATTTGGTAGAAATTAGGCTTTATTGCTTTTATAATGAGTAATTTTAAAAAAAAAAAAAGGCAGATAAATAGCTAGTAAGAAAATCTTTCAAAACAAAATTTAATGGAGTGGAGCAGAGTCCAAAGGGCTCTGCAGCAGCTTCCTCTGCTCTCCCAGGAAGTAGTTATATTTATCACTTAAATATTACTCATCCGATATAATAACGGCATAAGGGCAAAGTTATAAGAGACTAAACAAGGAATTATGTTGTAAAGGCATACAGTCAAACATAAAAATGACATCCATATTAAGTGTTTTTTAAAGATACACACATAAATATTTAATAAATAAAGCATGGATAATTATGCTGTTCCTTTCCACTGATTAATAGACTACGCCAAATTTGTTATATGTACTTCTTGAGAAAGCAAAGTTGTAGCACAATGGAAAAATAAAATATATATCCTACTTTCCAGTACAGTATGCAAGATTTGGACCCTTCAGATTGTATCAGAGCATGAGAGTTTCTGGAACAGATCTTCAGCCGCTGTAAAGTGTCATAACTCAGCCAAGATACTCAACTCTGACAGTTTACAACAAGCAAAAATGTTTTGATTTTTTTTCTCTTTTTAAACAAGTTTGCACCCAAACTAAGTTATAAAAACATAACATTTACAACTTGGAAGATGACAGATTTTCCTACCATAATGTTCATGTGTTTGTCTTACTTTCTTTTACCTGAGTAACCTAAGTAAACAGATTACAAGGCAATTTAAACATATTAGCCTATACAAGGTTTACTGGACTTCTCATATATAGAAATGTACTTTGACACTATTTGCAGTTTTACAAATACAAAATGAATAAGAATTTTAAAACATATTTATTGAGCAGCCATGTCTTTGATATCTGTACAGATCTATAGGTGCAGTGGAATTATGTACAGAATTTATCATTTAAACAGCTTTTGTGCAACCTGGCTGTAATGTGCATTTAAAGAACTGCTGTCAACATCACAGATCAGTAATATTTACTGGTGCCAGAAATGGAGAGTACAGAATAGGACAACAGCTCCTAAAATAATACTGTGCTATGCAGACATCTGTACATAATTCAAGTAGTGCATATTACTCAATGTCTGATGAGGAATAATATTTAGCTGCTAATACAGATACGGCCGTTTACAGGTATTAGATTTGTTATAGTAAGTATGGACGAATGAACTTTTCCATATATAAACATTAAAGGAAAGGACTTCAATTAGGAAGTTATGTAATAATTAAAGAAGGGAAGTTATGCAATAAGTAACAAAACTTTCAATTCAACTTGCAGAAGATTAGTACAGTAGGAAAAAAAATCCTTTACAGTAGCAATGAAACCATCCAGAAGCATTTTCAAATCAAAGGTAATTCAGTTTTATTTTATAATCATAGCAACTGAAAGTAAAAAAAAAAAAAAATCAACATGAAGAAAATTTAGTTTATCTCTGATAGTCTTGTTAAGTGTACTTCTGTGTTATTATACCTGTCAGATGTTTCCTTCTCTTTTTGTGCTCTATTCACTCTATCACTTTTTTTTTTAAATTTCTTTAGTCCAACATAAATCCATAGAAACTAAAGCACAGTGAATGTGCAATTTGCAGACTAGTGTGAGTGAAAAACCATAGGAATACAATTACTTTTACGAGGTAAGCTTGGAGTAACTTGGAGGAGAAAATTTGCGCTTCAAGTACTTGAGAATGTAAAGTGGAAGACAGCTTACAACAGTGATTGCTGACACTTTCCACAGGAAGGTCACAGTTGTGATAAAGGCAACATCTGCAGAAACAAAAAGGGACAATAAGTAATGGGAGCTGATAACATGGAAACTGGAACTTCCATAGCGCAAAGTCAATACAACTCTTAATTGTTTGCTTACACTATTGTTCAAGACAATGCAAAATTTAAAAAAAAAAAAGGCAACAAAACAACAGAAAGAGAAAGTTAACCTCAAAATTTTGTTTTTGCCAACTATTTTCTTTAGACTGGAACTTCAGAGTCCTTACACTGTTTTGCACCACAAAACAATTTTAGGGGAAACAGAATCTCAGTTTAAAAGCAAGACTTTCTCATAATAAAAAGTTAAGCCAGCTTATTTTTCTACTAGTAACAATGATTTTTACTCACTATAGTACAAGTTCCCAACCAGAAATTCTGCTACCATTTTAGATCCTTTATTCCATATTCAGATTATTTTTCTCTGAAACAGTCACAACAACTAGACTGAATGATTCTTAAAACCTTAGAGATTAAATTAGAGCCCAAAAATTTAAAGGGAAAACAAGATAGTGATATTGCCACAAGCCACAGTGAAAAGCTATTTTTTGTGACAAGCTAACAAGAATGGTGACACCCTACACCTGCTACTGAAATTTTTTGACTATATTTGCAATGGTCAGGTCGTACTTAATTATCATGGAAAGATCCCAGAACCCAGGTAACCTGAAGAATTTTTTTTTCTTTTTTCCATTATTTACAAATGCGTATATCAAGTAATTTACTACTCTTTAACAAATTTTTAAAGACTTAAAAAAAAACTTCAAGAAAAGTTAAACTTCACCTACCTAAGAAAGCTCCAAAAGACACTCTGCCTATACCTGTTTCACAAAGATGGAGAATGAAAATGAAAGGATAGCTTTACAGAAAATACAAAAGTTATTTGCAAAAACCCCAAACAGGTTAGCTACAGAAAAAGGAAATGAAAAAGATGTTAGTAGCATTAACTGGAATATTATTACCTTTCACATGACAATCAGAGTATTTTAAACAGCAATTAAACCAAAACATTTTGAAAATATACAGATTTTATATTTGGTCATCTTTTAAGGTTGTAAGTAGGTAGGCAGTTTTCTTACATTTGACTTCAAGGTATAATTTACTGTATAAAGAACTTGATCAGAACTGTTTCAATGTGAATGAGAATTCACTTCAGAAAATGCAGTAAAGAAATGCTTTATTGCTCCAACTTTACTCATTAAAAATACTTTGTATATTAGATTTCAATGTATAAACTTGTTATACAGTTTTAGCCTAAGCCTGCTTAGACATACTAAAAGCCTATTTAACATATGATAGAGACATGCCTAAGGCGGCCACTGTGTGCAATTAATTCAGAAACCTAAAACCTGGTTTAATTCCATGCGTCAGCTGTAGAGCAGTATCAAATACTTTTTGTCTTTCTAATTTGAGTGTCCTGCAATACTTATGGTATCATTTCTTTGGGAGGAGATGATGCTTATAAGTAGTATCATTGAAAGAAACAGTTTATTTGCTGACAAAGTCAAGCACTATTGGACTGGATTGTTTTTCCCGATACATGGAAGTTGTTCTATACTTTGAAATGTAAACCGTAACTTAGGCTTATACTACATTACATGCACAAAAAAAGGCTCCCTCCCCCCACTTATAATGTGACAGATTAAGTAAGAGTAAAGCATTAAGCAAAAGTGAGACTGAAACGCCTTTTCTCAGATTAACATCTTTACAAAAGCCCATGAAATTGCAACCTTTTCAGTACCCTTAATGATAAAAAATACAGAAGTTAAGTCCCTAGGCTGCAAGAAACCATGCAACCATTTACTGACTCAGTTGCTTGGACTTTTCCAGCAAATACATGAGGACAGTAAAGGACTCCCCTTTACAGAAAGGTTTGCAAGAAACAAAGTCCCTGCAGTTTTTACGCATCTGTGAACACCACTGTATTGGTGGCAAGGTTTTGATAGCAGGGGGGCTACAGGGGTGGCTTCTGTGAGAAGCTGCTAGAAACTTCCCCTCCGATAGAGCCAATGCCAGCCGCCTCCAAGACGGATCCACCGCTGGCCAAGGCCGAGCCAGTCAGCAGTAGTCTTAGCACCTCTGGGATCACATATTTAAGAAGGGGGCAAAAAGCAACCTGGCACAAACTGCAGCTGCAGTGAGGAGTGAGAGTATGCGAGAGGAATGACTCTGCGGACACCCAGGTCAGTGAAGAAGGAGGGGCAGGAGGTGCTCCAGGTGCCAGAGCAGAGATTCCCCTGCAGCCCGTGGTGAAGACCATGGTGAGGCAGGCTGTGCACCTGCAGCCCATGGAGGTCCACAGTGGAGTAGATATCCACCTGCAGCCTGGGGAGGACCCCACACCAGAGCAGGGGGATGTGCCCGAAGGAGGCTGTGACTCTATGGGAAGCCCACACTGGAGCAGGTTCCTGGCAGGACCTGCGGAGAGAAAGAAGCCCGCACTGGAGCAGGTTTCCTGGCAGGACTTGTGACCCTGTGGGGGACCCATGCTAGAGCAGTCTGTTCCTGAAGGACTGCACCCCATGGAAGGGACCCATGTTGGAGCAGCTTGTGAAGAACTGTAGCCCATGGGAAGGACCCATGCTGGAGAAGTTCATGGAGGACCCTCCTCTTGAGGAGGAAGGAGAGGCAGAGACAATGTATGATGAACTGACTGCAACCCCCATTCCTTGGCCCCCTGTGCTGCTCGGGGGGAAGAAGGTAGAAAAAATCAGGAATGAAGTTAAGCCTGGGAAGAAGGAGGGGGGGAAGGTGTTTTAAGATTTGGTTTTATTTCTCATTGCCCTACTCAGTTTTGATTGGTAATAAATTAAACTGATTTTCCCCAAGTCGAGTCTGTTTGCCCGTGACAGTAATTGCTGAGTGATCTCCCTGTCCTTATCTTGACCTACAAGCTTTTTTGTTATATTTTCTCTCCCCTGTCCAGTTGAGAAGGGGAGTGATAGAGTGGCTTTGGTGGGCACTTGGTATCCAGCCAGGGTCAAACCACCACAACCACCTAAAGGTGTTCTCACTGAACAACACCTACAAAAGATGGAAGGACTGGCTGTCATCAATACTAAAGACTTACAAAGGTGAAGCAGCAAGTGCTGCTTTATGAAGTTCCTGGAAGTTTGGACTAAAGAGCCAGTACCTGTATCTGTTCTTGCTTGTTCCTTTCATTTGTTATCTGGCTGTGGAGATTCAGGACTCAACCTGATCTAATCTCTATTGAAGAGTCTGTGCATCAGTGTCAGCAAAAAGAAAAACATACTCTGGCAAACCTGAAATAATGTACAAGTACCAAGCCTAGCAAGGTTGTTTCTTCATTGAAATTTGACTCCTGAGAAATCTGGGAAGTAGCAACACCTGGGACAGGCAGCAAAGCATTTACCGATTAAAAAATTATTATACAAATGTAAATGCACTACCCTAGTGTTGAACACTTGGGACATGAGAGTGAAAGCAGAACTATGAGACTCCTAGAAACTACCATGTAACATTTAATTCTGCTATGAGAAGTGACAACTGACGAAGAGCAACTCCTTACTCATCAGCTCCTGGAAAACCGAGACAGAAGGAGCTGGATTCTAGTACTTGTGAGGTATAATCAAAGTTGTTATACACGTTTCCATAAAAGTTATATTTGTAAAATAACACTAAGATAGTTGTTTTTACTGAAGTGTATTATTTTGATCCTCAGATCCTTGACTGCTAAGATTTGCAGTTAAAATGTGTTCTTTCACCTTGCAAACCATGATCAGAACCTTAAGACACAGTATGGCATACTGCAATTTAAAGTAAAGCAAGCTTAATATAATTCTGAAAATTATTCTTACATAAAGCATCTATCCTAATAGCCTTCTGCCTCACTCTCTAGCAATACTTCAGCTCTTTTAAGTTTGTGGGTTAGATCTAATGAGGTCCACGTGGTCTGGCATACAAAATAATTCAACAATGCAGTGAAAGATCCTGATTTTTTAAAATCATATCCATTTCAATAGTGCAAATCTCAAAGCCAATTTAAGGTACACAGTCTGGACTGTCAAGATCAGATCAAGGATGGGAAAAGCACACGTGGTTTGAGCAAAGTTTGTCATCTAGATAAATCATACTAACAGGAATATGGATTATCAAACTGTGGCAGAAAAGGATAAGAGAATATTTTAACTCAACATGAATTAAGCGTAATTTCAACTCAAGTCATATTTCTTATAGAGAAAGCTGTATTTCACAAAGCACATCATCACCTATTCTTAATAAAAAATGAGAAAAAAAAATTAAAAATCTAAAGCACAGTTCTTTGCTAAAATACTTTTACTATTACTCACCAAAGTATTCATTTAGAAATGCAAGAGAGGCCACATAGCAGCCAAGACTGAGGAATTCAGCCACCACCATTAACCAGTGCCATGTTCGTATGGTCAGTGCAACCATCAAGAGCTCAGTCAAGATCAGGGCAGTGAAGGAAATGGCAACGACATGTACAAATTCAGATTCAAAAAGCAGCAAGGCTCCATACATCAGAATACCACCTAGGAAAGGCACACAAAAGTTCACAATACACTGAGCAATGAAATTTCAGCATACCAGTTTTTACAAATGCACACTGATCATTTGATTGCTTATTATGAAAACTTGCCCAGTCATTTTTTTTTATAAGGTATCAACATCGATCTTTTTAAAAGCACAGAAGTGACATTTACTGTACTTCGTGCATGTGAAATAAAACAACCAAAGTAAAGCCGTAAAGAAATAAAACTATTAGAAAATCAGACACCTCTTAGTGCAATATATCTGATGAACTGTTAATTAACCTCTTTTTGTCAAGTGCTACAAATAAATGAGATATTGTTGAAAGTGTAATTAACTTTTAACTGATTACATAATTCAGATTTCTTCAACAGTACTTCTGTCATTCCATGAAAGAAAACTACTGTGTAAATATATACAATGTGATAAGCAATCATTAAAATTTTTCTGGATTACCATTTAATTAAAAACATGTTCTTTTTTAGGCGACATGTATCAATACAAATACCAATCCACACCGTGTTTTGAATAGGCATGGCACACTACAGGAATATCGATTTACGAGATAAAGAAAAAGCAATATATATAACTGCTGATGAAATGTTAAGCTTCAGGAATTCAACCCACAGCTGAAAAACAATATTGCTAATAGCAGACAAAAAATTCTCAGTTCAGTAAAATTAGGACACCTACCTTGGTAAATACTGATTAAAACCCAGATGAGGAAGGTCTTAAATGACAACGATCTTCCCTAAGGGAAAGAAGTGAGAGGACAGTTAAGCACAACTTTGAAAAGATAAATCTACTCAGTTCATATATTTTTAATAGTTAATTGCTAGAGAGACATTTTACAAGTAAAATAACCAGTCTTTGAAGTGATACAGGCTAAAAAGCTTCTACTTGTTTCTATGATTCTTCATTGCAAACTTGTATAGAAATCGCACAAAGTCTAAGTTTGGGGATAGGACAGTTAAGGCCTTAAACAGCAAAGATACTTCACCTTGCAATGCTCTGGCTAGTTTTCAGAGGGATAATTACAGTAAAAATAGTTTATTTTTTATTTAAAATGTTTTTATATCTGTTTTGTAAAATGTAGTCTTCAAGAAAAATAGGATTGTGTACCTACTGACCTAAACCTCAAGCAAAACTGTAGTTATTAGTTGGGTAAACTGTCTATTTGCATTCATAGAATAAACATATGACTACTATGAGTTTTCAGCAAGTAACTATTACCAAATACATTTTAGATCTTGTGGTTGTGCATGTTTTAGATTGAAATATATGCATAAATCAAAAAATAAATACTGTACATGTGTATATGACTTACATTCTGTGAGGGTACTGATGAAATGTTAGAATTGCAGAGTTGAAAAGATATGCATTTAAAAGGATAAAAAAGCAAACAAAGCCATTTTGCACAAAAGAAGTGATCACTGGAGCAGGGAAGAATCAGCACTTTACAAAGAAATGTGCTTCATTGCTGTAGAAAGTGATGAATTAACTCTTTCTATTACTTCAGTATAGGCTAAAACATTTTCTTGGATAGATAAGAGTTCATGACAAGGTGCTAAAGATATTTTCATAATTCTGTATATAGTCTAGAATGTTGCTGACATATGACTGAACATAAGGGAAAAGATTCTCGTACAAGCACTAAGAAACATTAGATTTTTTTCCTCCTATGAGTGCCTACTCATTTTCCTTTGTGTACTGGACACTGCTTCCACCTTCGACCATAGCCCAATTAGCAAGATTTGTGAAATAAGGATGAGCTTGAGTTTTGGTTCACCTTTATGGAACTAGAAGCGCTAAGTCACTCCTGAGCCGCTAGGGAATGCTGTACAACAGGCTGTGAATCATTTTCAGGTGGAAGCAGGGAGCCCTCTTACTTGTTCTTCCTTTCAAATTTTCACCAGCTTTTCTAGCTATAATTCTGTAGGAGCCACATTAACAGTAATACTGAATCAGTGTGTCCTCCAGGGTATGTGGCCACACCTGCCTCTCTGAACCTTGCTAATTTTCTCCTCTTCTTGTACTGGAGCAAGAGTCTGTCAATGAGTTGTGCCAATATACCTTATTTTTTTAAAAATCTGAAAAGCATTTTCATCAGTAGCATACCCCAGAAAAGAAAACAATTCTTAAGAATACAATTATAGTCTGTGTCAAGAAGTGTTTGCGTAACGCTAGCTGAATAGCCTTGGTAGATATTTGCATTTAGAGTCCATAATTTGAAAAATGATGTGCAGAAATATGTAGGCTTCATAGCATCATGACTAAGGCAGCATGATCATAAATTGCTGTAATAAACACTCACAATAAGACTACCTTGTAATAGGTAATGTAAACGTAGCACATGAATAACTTTTTGTACTAACCCATAATCATTCACTGATAATCATCTGCCACACACAATGGACTGAAATGTACTCTCCAGTTTCTCCACATTCTCTTTTTTTTCTTCTGAAGAGAAGTATTTGGGTTCTACTTATTTAATATTCATAGAGGTGCAACATAAGCTGGGAAAGCCAGTGATTTAGCATCTCCAAGAACTGTCATTTAAGCCTAAACAAAAAACTTAGCCTGTATTCATCTACACATCCTGGGCAGTTTCTGAGTACAGGTTAACTTCTATCTTTGGAAATAAGATGCTTCCAAGTTCCACCAACAGGTTTCCACAGGCAAGCTACAACTGCCTTGCCTTTAGCAGGTGTAAGGCCATGCTTTTTTTGAGATTAATCATAGGCTGAAATCTCACAAAGAAACTTTAAAGATTCTGAAGATGGGAAAGAGAGAATCAAGACCTCCAAGAGACGAGAAAAGATTCTCCCAGACTAACAGAGCCAATAGCTAATTTAGTACAATTAAAAAGACAAAGGCTCTGAAAAGTTTGGGCCCCCTTCAACTACAGTCTGCTTTTGAAGTTTTAGACACATCTTCAAAGAATCTACTATCCCTAAAAAGACTATCTGCTTCTGTCTTGGATCATAACTTTTCTAGCTGACAGTTTAAGATGGACCAGAAGTACTTTTCAAAACAAACAAAGAAAAAAAAACCCAAACAAAAAAAAATTATGAATCTTGAGATTTTTTTCACTTTTGTGGGTAAAGAAATTACACACTTTCATTGGTTGCAGGTATGTGCAAACACACAGAAAGCAGTATCTACAGATGATTCAGTTAACATATAGCAGTTATCAGTATCTGTAATTTAAAGTAAATCAGCTTTTAGAGAGGTCAGTAGTGATTTCTGAGGGTTAGGGAGAAAAAAAAAAAAAAAATCTACAAATCAATCTACCTGTTAAAAAGGAGCTGTGAAAAAATAAGCATAAATAACTCCAGATCCGAGATCCTGGGGCCAGACTGAAAGCAGCTTTGACATCAGCATACTTTCATGTTTGAATTATTTCAGTCCAACCATTGGTGACTTAACAAACGTATTAATAAAACAGAGTGTAACATTTGGTACTATGGATTACTTTCATAGCACAAAAGTCTGCGCTACATTAGTTGTGCATCTGTCTTGCACGGAATACCTTAAGAAAATGATTGTGAGAATTCCCAGTTTTGCACACCGGGTATTTCAGCACTTGTTCATATCTGCACTGAGGACACTCATACCTTTGTGAGATCCTTATAAAGTTCTGGATATAGCAATGCCATTTCTGGCTTCACATCCTGATCCAATACTAGAGAGAAGACTGGAAACATAGTATATATGGTTGCATACCTAGGTGAAACGAAAGCACATAAATTGACAATTTTGTATGATATGATTTTAAACTGATCTACTGAGTTCAATGATTCTTTTTATTTAACTGGAATTAAACTGGTTCTTCGCCTGGATGATCTTAAAGGTCTTTTCCAACCTAAACGATTCTATGATTCTACGATTCTACACAGTGCTGAAGCAGCTTACCAATACAGCTTTACATGTGCAACCTGCTCTTGTGCTTCTGAGAGCTACCAGTTGTGAGAAGTCATAGAGCTTTTATACATTCAAAACCAGTAAATACATATTCTTTCTTCTATATAGATCACCCAAGCCTGTTACCATACTCCCTATGCACTTGCACTTTGGACAACCAGTTCAAAGACCTGACATTTAAATTCATCCACAGACGACAGCATGAAAACAAGAAAAAACAAGCATTATATTCTGGACATCATGGTATAGGTAAGTGGATGAACAAAAGTTTTAACAGCTCTGTAAGTGGCTTTGGATTTTAGTATGCACATGCCAGATATGCACTTTAGTATATATTTTCCTAGAACTTAACTATTTACAAACATTTTGGAGAGATCTACTGATTGCCTGTGCAGACTGTGGTGTAACCAGACCTTGACTTGACTATAAATTAAGTTACTATTGATTTAAGTTGTTGTTGTTTACAAGGAGTATAAAAAGAAGCTCTTAGGACAGACACAAATATATGCATATCCATCAGCTATACGACTTGGGGAATCATATTACTAAAGCAGCTTCTGCAACAAGACCAGGGTGCTCCTAATCCTGCATACATTCACCTGAACAGAAATCTATGTGGCAGACTTGGGTAGTGCACTCTCAGAGGAAATTTCATAGTCAGTGGCTTCAGCTCCATTTTTAACAGAAAAATCTGTGATTCTCACTGAGGCTTGTATGGCAGTCTGTGTAACAGCTCAAACTGGTCTGGGAGATTTCCTTTATTGTTTTCACCCCGTATGTGAAAAAGGTTATTTGGTATCTTCTTCTAAGGCTATGCAGAACCTTTTCTTCAGAGAACTAACAATGAGGCTTCCCCCCTCACATAGTGCATATTCAACCTAGTTTGACCTGTCTTTGTAGACTCATTCCAGGTTTTGGTAGCATACCAATGATAACTGTACAAAAATGTGACAGACACCAACTATATGATGTTATTTAACAAGTTAGTTTGCTATATTTAATACCAGATATCGTAGCTGTTGGTTTTGACTTACCCTACCATTAGGAATCCTTGGTACAAGGGAACAGATGCAAAATAGAAGACTGATGAAAATACAGCCTACAAAAAGCAGATAATTATATATATATAATTCTATATACAAAACATTACAATAAAGAAAAAAAGTAACAATACTGGTTGATTAAGATTTTGTGACATTTCAGAGACAGACATAGTGTTTTTAACTATTCAGAAAACAAAGCTTTAAATACCTGCATAGTTGAAATAATAAGGCCTCGGTGCATGACAAATTGACCAAGTGCTGCTGATCTTTTGTAACTGTTTCGACCATGTACCATCAGCAGCCTACCTATGTGTTTGAACTGTGTGATAGAAAAGTCAGCTGCTAGGGAAGCTTGTTTTCCCTCCTAGAATGAAACAAAAATATTCCAAATATGAAACCCAGTGTAAAAGATGTGTTTCAAATTTGAAAATTCTTCGTGATAATTAATTTTAAAAGTCACATTTGCTCCTGCTTCAGAAGTCAACCCTGCAACAAGACACAATTTTTTGTGCATATGCTAAGATGCAGTGGCTGTAACATTAAGTTTAATTGCCTACCCTGCTTCTTTCAGGTAAATGCTACAAAGAAATAACTATAGTGTTTTCTGCTTTGCTTTTCTTGCTTTTTATATTTAAAAAGATAAAGCAGAGGACATAGACGCAAAGAAAATATTAGTTCAAAGACTAAGCATTTTTATAATCTTACAGCATACTTGAATTAGAAATGATCAATTCACTACTGTTTAAGAATAAAGCTTCTAATCCCATGTTATTATACTATGTGGCACATATTTGACAATGAAACTGTTAACATTACCTTGCCTTCAATTCCAATTCCACAGTCTGCTGCTTGGATCATGCTGACATCATTTCCTCCATCACCTGGAAAATGTCACTGCAATATTCAGCTCTTCAGAGGTTTTACTCTCCTGGCCTTACAGTATTTTAGAAACCTCTTATATACCTTTAAATTCTTACAATTAATCTATGTATTATGATTAATTACTTCAGCACTCAAGACTTTCTCCTGTGGAATAAAGAAGGTAACCACTCCTTTCTCATGGAATGGCATTTTCTGCTACAGCTACATAATACCTGGCTGTCGACAAGTCTCTTTGGTTTTGTTTCAACTATTTCTCAGTGGTGCCATCTACCGCTTAAGTTTATCACAGATTTTAGCAGCTGCAAATGAAGATCGTGCCAAGTTACCTATTGCACACGTGCGTTTTCCAGTGTGGTGTTGTAACAGTTTCACAATATGAGCTTTTTGGGTGGGAGAACATCGGCAGCACACTACAGCAGGACACTGACAAGCCAACTCTACAAATTCATGCTCATAATACTTCAGACAAACCTAAGGAAAAAAATACACTTGCATTTACTTACAATTAAATACTACTACATGTAGTCTAACACAAAAACACAGTATAAAGAATTCTTTTATAAAGTTTTGCTTGCACGACATCCATCTGGGAGAAAAAAGCCACATTCTCCTGACTGTGGCTTTATTATTTTAAACTGACATTCTCTTTCATTTAGGGAGCCAATATGCTTTGGGGTTAAGAGAGGAGAAAATACTAAAGCACGCTGCATACAAATTCCATTCTGTTACCATACAGGAGACAAGAGAACCAGTAACATTTGTCCATCTAGAACATATATCCTCTAATTAGCACTCAGTGAAAACCAAAAGTATCTCTAAGGACAACTTAAAAGTATGGGCAAATACTGGAAAAAAATTTAAGAGCATGAAGACACCGATACTTTACTTTTTGAATGTAAGCATATAGATAAATGTAATTCAACAGAAACCAAGTTCTTACCTCAAGTGAGTCCCCAGATATCACCAAGGCACAGTCATGCTTCCTCCTAAAGGCATTTAGCTCTAAGTGAGCCTCTCCTCGAGTGGTAACCTTCAACAAAAAACACTCACTTAAAAGATTTTGTTATATTCTTAAAAAAAACCCTGCCTAAATAAATCAGGTTTTGAGAATTCATACCCAGAAGGCCTTGGTTCAACAAGTTTTTTATCCCAATGCAAGTCCAATACCCATGGAATGTGACTACAAGTCTTGAATCTTATGGAATGAAGAAGTAATCCTCAAACAAGGAAAATCTATGTAGTCAGCTTAACTGGTTCCTTACCAAAGTAGATCAGGGCTAAAAAATTAATGAACTAGTGACATTAAAATATCATAAGTTCAAGCCGACCTGAGTCCTTCCATCTTGGCAGGGCTACAGAAAAAATAGACAAAAAACCAAGCAAACACCAAAACTTTTATTTATTAACCAATAAAATATGTTCTTAGAATAATGCAAAATACTCATATTAATAGTCCCTTCAGTTTGGGTAAGTAGACCAAGATTTCAAAAGGCACATAAAAATGCTCACTAGTACTAATCCTTTTGGATCTTGCATAAGTATGCAAGCAGGATCAAGTGGCATAACACAAGAGGACTACATCATAGGTTTTTTTATTTAGGTAATTATTGTTTCAGAAAGGCCCAGCTGTGAAACACAAAAAATGGTCAAAGGTTACCAAACGGATTTTGGAGGGTTTTGAGCTAGAACACAGAACATGAAAAATTTAAATTATAACCAGATTTTGACGAGGCTGGCAGTTTTAGTTTGGTTCTCCCCGCCCCCACCCCCACCCCACCCCCCAAATCAATGTATTTTAGCGCTATCAAGCAAGACAAAGTTCCAAGCACAGAATAAAACGCAAACTCTGATTACACTTCTAATTTTGGCTCTGTCAGCACTTTGATTAACTTTTAAAATATATGAAACTTAATTACACTGAATGTGAAGTTTTGTCTTCGGCCCACTACTACCCAGAATCAGATGCAGTCCAAAGACCTTTCTCCCTCCAGATGGGCTCTACTATGCCTAAAATTTGAGTTACAGTAAAAAGCACCTGCAAACAGAAAAACCCATACACATGCCCCAGTTCAGAATTTCTTTCCTTCTTTCCCACAATTAAACATGTAAAGAGAAAGCTCCTTGTCTGTCAGCTGTTAGGAACCCTGAATTGCATTGGCCCGTTATAATTTTTCTGCATTACAGAGATTAAGAGATGTCAGCACTTGGCACACACTAATGAGCAGTAATTGCCCTCTCTGTTCTACCTTTCACCTAACAGAGGTGGTTTTGGTTTGTTGTTTTTTTTTTTTTATTTTAATTTGTAAATACCTCCAGACAATATATCAGTTAATTTCATTACAAAATGAAGAAGCTGAGACTTCTAAGAATAAAAAGGAAGAGTGTTAAAAACAAAATGCATCTTTTTGGGAAGCCGAAGTAGTAACTAACTTTTTATTTACTAATTTATAACTAAAATAGAAGTATTAGAGCACTTGGTATTTTCTTACATTAATCCAGTAGTTATTTCTTTGAAACAAATGGAGCCACAGAAATAATTCCGTATAAATCCATTTTCTAACTAATTTAAAACTTTGCATACTCTAAGTTAATGCAGTTTTATGCTGATCTCTTATTACCAGTTGAGGTAATGAAAATAAAAATCTGACTGAACTAAATAGATTTTGTTCAGGAAGACTTAATTTGTGGTGTTACAACATGGAAAGGTCAACAAAAATTGATCTGAAGTTTTATCAGAAGCATTAATAATTTAATTGCAAATAGTAGACTGCAGGGCCTAATTTGCCATTCTGATGCTTCAGAAGAAACTACATTTACATGTAAATTATATTCATATAATTATTTCTGTAGGTGCAAGTGGTTCATTTAGAACAAACACAGACATATTATGTCTGATCACACACCATCAATCAATGTCTGGAAAATCTATTTTTGTTTGGCTTCAGTAGAGTTGATGCTATGCAAACATAACCAAAAGGTACAGAAAAACATATTCAATTTACCTTTCTAATAATTATCTTAAACAGTCTGTTAATAAATGCAAATATATATCATGATGTAAAAAAAAATTAAATTTTTCTCATACTGATTTGAACTACGTGTTATCAGAGAATGTTGGCATCACAGTTTAATTCAAGACTAATTCTGCTTAAGTCTAAAGAGATCTATTAATGAATATGCTAGAATAAGCAAGAACCACATTCAGATAGCCTAAATTCCTGGACATTCTTTCCTACTGGCTCAGCATGTCACATGGACCCCTCTCCACCGTTACTCAGAGGTACCTTACTATGTCCATTGTAGAAATGAAGAGTGCAAAACACACGTTGAACCTAGGTCACCCGAACATGGCTACAAACATTTCTGTAGCACATCAACAAATCTAGAAACAAGCACCCTTAAACAGAAGCAATCCTTTGTAATTCTACATCCTTGAATAACAACCTAAGTACTACTCTCTTGACCATTATTACGACACTCGGTACAATAACCCATCAATTTTCAACAAGCAGCCAATTACTAATCAAATAAAGCAACACTGTTATTAGCTGTCCTTTGATGAACCAACAAAAAAGTTGGAACTATACTTACAGGTCTGAAAATGTGAATATCTTGAGTCCTAGACACTAAGTGAGAACTTTTCGCAATGCAAGTTGCTGTCTCCAGTTTATCTCCTGTTAACATCCATATCTGCAAAATAAGGTACAAGTTTACTCCACTGGATATTAATGTGTCTGTTCTCCAAATCTAAATGACATCTCTCCAACCTTTTTCTGGTACCTTTTGGGATTAGACTACCAGAGAAAATACACTGATATGTGCATTTTTAACTAAAATTAATGAGCAGTTTTTACTGCAGTAACACACAAAGCAGAAAAGAACTGTCTTTACTTCAGGCAGCTCTATTCCCCTTCTCTTCTCACAAGGGCCAATGTCTCAATTTACAAAAAGACAAGATGAAACTCTGGGGAAACCCACTGGCACAGCTGAACAGCAGGGAAAGCATAAAAGCCTTTTCCTATGGCCTTGATACTACCTCGCTCAAAAGACTGAGGATGCAGACAACTACAAGAGAGATAACATTTGTCAGGAAAATGATGCAACACAGTCTGTGACCCTAGTGAGAATCTATCAGAAAGCAGCAACCAAGCAATGAGATAGCATATCCTGGAGGAAGAGCTACAGTCCCAACGTTCCAAAGAGATCTTGCCCACTGACTGTGCAGAACTGGGATGAAGGCATTAAAGTTTAAGGAATAAGGCCGAGGATCCATCTGTTCTTGAAGTTAGACAGCTTGCTCTCTCCCTCAGCCCCTTAACACCAAGAAGGACATCTGGATGAAATACCATTAACCCTTGACCAAACGGAACAGACCACACAGGAAGAATGACTTAAGCTGCAAGAGTTATTATTGGACAGTTACTAAGTTAACAGTTGCAATTTTATTAAACTGTAAGCCTCTGTCTCCCTCTTTTCCTGTACATCTCAGGTAAGACCCTTTTCATTAGTGTCCATGTGGGTCAATGAATGGACAAAAGACTCATGTTTTCTCATCAGTAACCGAGTAATCTATAATTTTATGACCTATCTGCAGCTACTATTGTGTTTCCAGCCTACTATAATGTTGGTTGTAATTAAAGCCAGAACAGTTGTAATGCTCTGAAATGCTAGAACTAATCATTTAAAAAAAACCCCAAAACAAACCACCTAAAAATTGTCACACTGTTCTATTCCTATTTGTAGCAGGATATACCTAACAGTCCGAAGTGACCACATATAGAAGAAATATCAAGAGCAAATGAGAAAACACTATACAAGAAGTACTTACATATTAAAGTACTTTGCACTAATCACACTGTACTAAAAACAAATTTGATGTAATCATAAGGCTTGAACACATACATGTATTTTTCTAACTGTGCACACCACTGTATTACCAGCTAATTCACCTGGAACACTTGGGGGAACAGAGATTAATTAAAAACAGAATAACAAAGAGCAAACATGGAAAAGGACCTTTGGAGATTATCTAGTCCAACTACCCTGCTCAAAGCAGGGTCAACTACAACAGGCTGCTCAGGACCACATCAAGACAGTTTTGAACAACTCTAAGGATGGAGACTCCACAAACTGTCTGGGAGACCTGCTCCAGTGTTTGAACACACAGTAAAAAATTTTCTTGTTATATTCAAGTGGAACTTCCTTTATTTCAGTTTGCATCCATTGCCACTTGTGCTTTCACTGTGTGCCACTGAAAAGAGCCTGGCTCTGTCCTCTTTGCACCCTCCCTTCAGGTATTTATAAACATTAATAAGATCCTCCTGAGCGTGCTGAACTTCACCCTCTCATAACTACTGTGGGTGGCCAAGGCCATCCCCTCAACCAACTTTCACATCCTTCACCAATTCATAGAATCATAGAATCGTTTAGGTTGGACAAGACCTTTAAGATCATTCAGTCCAACCATTAACCTAACATTAACAAGTCCACCACTAAACCAATTAAGGGTACAGTAATGATTTCATGTTTCTTGGCTTGATGGCTGCATTATTTTTTAATGAAAGTAAAAACTAGGAATCATTAAGATTGGAAAGGATCTCTAACATCATCAGTCCAACCATCAACCCAACACCACTACGCCCACTACACCATGTCCCAGAGTGCCACGTCTACCCGTTTTTTGAACACTTCCAGGGATGGTGACTCCCCCACCTCTCTCAGCAGCCTGTTCCAATGCTTGACTACCCTTTCCATGAAGAAGTTTTTCCTAATAACCAATCCAAACCTACCCTGACACAGCTTGAGCCCGTTTCCTCTCATCCTATCGCTAACTGCTTGGGAGAAGAGACCAACACCCACCTCGCTGTAACTTCCTTTCAGGTAGTTGTAGAGAGCAATAAGGTCTCCCCTCAGCCTCCTCTTCTCCAGGATAAACAACCCCAGTTCCCTCAGATGCTCCTCATAAGACCTGTGCTCCAGACCCTTCAAGAGCTTCGTTGCCCCTCTCTGGATGTGCTCCAGCACCTCAATGTCTTTCTTGTATTGAGGGGCCCAAAACTGGACACAGTATTTAAGGTGCAGCCGCACCAGCGCTGAGTACAGGGGGACAACCACCTCCCTGCTCCTGCTGGCCACACTATTCCTGATACAAGCCAGGATGCTGTTGGCCTTCTTGGCCACCTGGGCACACTGCTGGCTCATGTTCAGCCGGCTGTCAACCAGCAGCCCCAGGTCCTTTTCAGCCAGGCAGCTTTCCAGCCACTCTTCCCCAAGCCTGTAGCGTTGCATGGGGTTGTTGTGACCCAAGTGCAGGACCCGGCACTTGGCCTTGTTGAACCTCATCCAGTTGGCCTTGGCCCATCGATCCAGCCTGTCCAGATCCCTCTGCAGGGCCATCCTACCCTCCAGCAGATCGACACTCCCAATTTGGTGTCATCTGCAAACTTACTGAGGGCACACACAATCCCCTCATCCAGATCGTTAATAAAGTTATTAAAGAAGACTGGCCCCAAAACTGGGCCCTGGGGAACACCGCTTGTGACTGGTACAATTCCTACTTGTTTGTTAGTATGAGGACTAGTAGAGCATCTCTCCTTGTTGACTCCTCAATCACCTGTGTCAGGAAATTATTGTCATTGCATTCCAAAATTCTCCTGGTTTGCTTGTGTCCTCCTGTGTTGCCCTCTAGCAGATATTGGGGTGGCTAAAGTCCAGCACAAGAACCAGCACAGGCAAATGTGAGGCTTCCTCCAGGTGTCTGAAGAAGGCCTCTTCTACTATATCTTGATCAGGCAGTCTGTAGCAGACACTCACTAAAATGTTGTCCACATTGGTCTGCCCACTGATTCTAACCCATAAATTCTCTGTTGGCTCATCGTTTGTCCCAAGGCAGAGCTCCATGCATTCCCTCTCCCCTCCCATGTAAAGGGAGATTTCCCATGCTTGCTGCAAAGCAAAATAGCTTACCCTCCTTCTCAGGCTAAAAAAAAAAACCCCATAAATGTATCTATCTGATTCAGCATAACCAATACAAAGTTAACCAATGCAAAACCACACCTTTTCTGTGCAGAGTTTGACACTGCTTCAAGCAAAATCCATATAATCTTGCCAACTCCCCTCAGATATTGCTCCTATCTTTATTTCAAACGCTCTTTCAAATAAACATATTGCTTCTAAATATGCAATTGGTAGCTGTCTAGCATAGTCTGCCTACGAACAAAACACAGCATAAACTCTCATGCAAAGCTTTTGACACTGTCCCTTTAACATGACTTGAACAAACTCCAAGGGCAGTTCTGAATTCTAGTTCCAACAATTCACCTTTTGATCTTTGCTGATACTTCTCATGAGTGTCAAGCCTGGAAACATTGTTATCATACGAATCTTGTGCAAAACTCATTTAGTGTCAGCTAGGACAGTTTACTGTAGACAGTCAGGGAATAAATGACTGGGAGTCACATACATTTATCCATTGTTAGTTTTCCTACAGAAGTAAGCTTAAGATCAGTGAAACCTGTGGTGGACAAGGGAACTTCACACACAGTATCTTGTTTGTTTCTGCTAGCTCATGCCCAGAATGTGCTTAAGACATGGCATATTTCCTACTTTGAATGAACCTGAATATAGACAAATGTAATTCCTGTCTTGTTAACGAACTAGTTGTTAAATGATAACCTGTCATGTCAGCAGTATGCGTTTAGTACCTTTATTCCAGCATTTCTTAGCATCTCTAGAGTTGGTCTAACATCTGCTTGCAGCTGATCTTCTACTCCAGTGAGACACAGCAATTCCATTTCTCGCTCCAAACTCTCTACAACAGCAGCAACCTTCAGGTTTCTGTCATGTATGCTTAACTTTGCTTGGTTATATCGACTCTGCACAAACACAAAACCACTTAAGAGTTTGCTATGACTTAAAAGTATACATTCAGTCTACCATCAGTTATAATATGGATTCATGAGGCTAAATATTTGTCTTTAAATATCTTTAATGAAAAATAAGATTAAAAGAGCAAATTTTATTTTACACCCAATGTTATACATGTTTTTTCTGACAAATCACCTCAAGAGAATGCCTTCTGAAGAACTACTAAGAATTAGGCATCACAGTATCTAAGCAGGAACTGTTCTTATCTTTAAGAACAAGTAGATTTTTTAGGTCATGCTGAAGCTACAGAATTAACATTACACTAGCTTCTGGGAAACCACTGTCCAGTCACATAAGCAAAACAGTATCCTATGTGTGACTGCAGAACAATCACTAATGAATGACAAAATCTCTAACAGATTGTGTGCCATACCTCAACTATCAACATTTTAAATAGGAATCACCTTTTTTGCCACCTTAATAAGATAAAAAGAGGAATGTTCCCCTTGAAGTAACTAAATATGGTGAAGCACAAGATCACTCTGTCCCTTCATACCTCAAAATCTTGATACTGTTCTTCAGTCAGTGATTTTTTGGCAACAACCAGCGTACGCAGTCCTTCTCGTGCCATATTACCACACTAAATGGACCAAACCACAGAATAGTTATGCAAATATTCAACCGCATGTACACGCCTTATACTATATGCTAACAGGGGATATCTGTACCATAACTTTTAGTGTTTCTTTAGGCTTTTAGATTATTTTTGAGAAGCCACAAACAGAATAAAAAGCAACTATACTTCAGGTCCCCCAAACGAAGTGGCTTGCTATTGGTAAGCCAATTAGGTTTTCTCTTCTAGCTTAAAGAAAATCGCTTTTAGGTTTAAGCTTTAAAATAAATTAAAACTATTTTTGAGGCATGTAACAGAGCTCCATTTTCTTTTTCCACTGAACACACCTCAGAAAAATATCTACACATTAAAACCAGCCATGGAATAGCATGTCTTAATGAAAAACAAGGCTGTCCAGTGCAAAACACTTATTGATTCGACCTCATAAAGCTAAATAAATTAAACAAGTATTTTACAATTAATTGTGCATCATTATCGCCAAAAGTAATTTTTATGACATTTTGCTAGGTCTTGAGGGAGTTTAATTTATTCATGTCCCTGAATAAATCAAACTGCCCTGCAGCAGATATTGATTCATATTGCCAATACCATTATGAACATACATGGTGTAATCATTGTATTAACACATTGTCTGTATGTAGGGTCAAAATAAGATGATTGCTGGTACCTAGTAGAGCCATACAGTGAAAAATATTAATCAGTTTTGAAATTCAGTCACTGGCTATTTTATATTAAATTTAATGTGGCAAAAAACTATTTCAATTTGGCTGCAACCCTTATTAAACTTCATAATTCATAATCATACCTCACTGTAGAATTTGATAAAATACGGGCATTTCAGTACAAATAGGTTTACAGCAGAATACTTCTCAGAAGTAATTAGGTTTTATGTGAAAGGTCAGTCAATGAAAAACAAATTTCCTTGTTTTAAGTAGGAACGTGTTCTGCTATGACTACCAGCTTTGCTTTTCCTGTGGGTTATTCAAGAATTGGAAATAATTCTAATCCCTTAAAACCCATTCAGGATACATGTAACTGAACTTCAAAACCCATTACTACATCAGCTCAGGTTCTCCTTTAAAGCTATTCCAATAGTACCTGATATTTTGATTCTAAATTTTTAGTTTTTACAAAATTTTAATTTTTATAAAATTTGATTTTGGTCTTACCTCTTCTTCTAACCAATCATTGTACTGTACAATAGTGGACATTGCAACATCTGCACCCTTCATGTAAAATGTAATTTCTCCTGAAGATTCATCCTAAAATTTTACAAAAGAAAGAGAAAGCGGGGAAAAAAAAAAATCTGTTTATGCAGTCAAAACAATTACCTACCAATAACCTAAATGCCTTTTGAAGTAGTCAGTGGATTATCATTTATAAAAGATGAAGTACCTTGCCAAGAGGTGGGTAAGTTTTATTACCTGATGTTACTACTTCCAACGCCACCTCCGACTCCATCAAGATGCATGTTGCCTACTTTCTCATACAAGAGAATCAGTTCTAACTGAAGTCAATGTAACAGATTCTCAGCATCCCTAAACTGCCCATCTAAATTTTAAAATATCACTGTTACGCCCCCTCTAACTACTGTTTTCTTTCTTTGGTGGCATATACTACCTAACCCACAACAGAAAGTTTGCTCTGTATCTCTGAAATACCTAAGTAATTAAAATTGACAAATAACTTAGCGTAAATGCTTGTTACAGATGTTTTAATGATGAAGCATTCATTACATATTCAGAGAATTCACATGCAGGCAAATATAATCCAAATCAGGAGTTTCTGAGGTATGGCCTGTCACAGAAAGAATGGATTAGTCTGATCTGCAAGCGTCTTAGAATATCTCTGAACATGTCACTATTAAACAGGCTCTTAGTGCCAACCTCACCTAATGAAATACAGACTTGCCAAGGTTTCTCCAGACCTATGTGCCTGAAGTATCCTTGCATAAGGCTGATGGCATGCCTGGCTTGTCATCAAGGGCAAATAAAAAATGGGATGAGTTTGACACCTATTTAACTGGGACTTGGCACTGATCTAACCATCTAACAATGTTGCCTGATGCTGTTCTGCTACGGTGTCTGATTTTAGCTAGGTAGAAGGTAGAAGTATGTAGCATGGATGGCTTCACATTCGCAGAGATTTAAAACTTCCTCATAGCATGGTGCTGTGGCTTCCTTTCAACTGAGGTTTTAATGATCTTTACTACGCTCCCAACTGGGCATCTAGGAGACAACTAGATTTACATATCTCGTAAATCTCAGATCCCGTGGGTTGTGCTGTATACGCATGCCAGTTCAGATATCAATACTGGGTCTGGAAAAGCAGCAGCACTAGTAGTATAGAAAGACACTAACTACTGTTGTAAGAAATCTCAGCCATTAACTTACCCCTTGAAGAGGCAACATATTTTGTATGAAAGAAACAAATGGAAAATTAAAAACAAAGGCTTAAAGGCAACTTGCAGCATCAGAGGCTAAGCGTGAAATTAACATGTTGCCATGTAAGAGAAGAGTCTGTCCTTTACAAAGCTCTCTGCAACATCAGGTTAGCCTGATTTTTCTACAGTTGCTTGTCTAGTATTTCATGGGTACCTGTGTCAAAGGTGTACTTTCCATTCGAAAATCTTGTGTAAATGCATTCCCTGAAGGACTAAGTTTCTATTAAATTTTAAAAAATAAACATTCAGTAAAAACGTTTTTTGAGAAATAAACCCCAACACCCAGAACACCCGCAAAATTACCCTAACTATGATCCCCATGCGCTTGCTCTCTGAAGTGAAGGGGAAGATCTGCAGAATATAGTACGTCAGAATGTGTCCACCAGGGGTCTTCAGCTGCATTGAGGTCAAATCCCTGTTAACCAGAGTGAGACCGACACTCTCCGTCCACTGCACCAGAGCTACCTAAAGAAAGAAAAAAAGGAAAAAAACCAGACATGTTTAAGTGTGAAAGGTCTATTATACTGGTACAGAAATTAGGCTAAAGCCAAACAACTGTTGCTAGGGTAGAAGTCTAAACTCTTCCAAGAATCTAGGAAAAAAACATGTGAATAGTGGTAGACTGAGTACAAAATCTTAATACATCAAACAAGTATTTTCCTTCAGAAAGCTTACAAAAATTCTTATGAATAATATAAAAACGTATTTGAACTTATTCCTGCAAGTGAGGTATTTAGAATATATTGTTCAGAAATAACAGTTCTAACAAAAAACCCATATATATATATATTCAACAATACTTAAAGGACATCCATATGCAAAACCAGAATACAATTTCTGTACCAATGACACTGCTATGTAAGTAAAAGATTTTGGGATTATTTCCATATAAAACATTTTATTAGATCTACAAATACATGCAAGTTGAGACGCTGTAATATATAGCAAACAGATAAGCAAAGGATCTTATTTTTAGCTTCCTTTGTTCACTTGCATGATTTTATTACTTCGTTTCAACAATAATATAATTGAGTTCTTACCATATCAAATGAGATGGAAACCAAGCTTACAGTACTGCATCCCACAAACATGCTTGTGAAAGTCCCTTTTACAAACCCATACATTACACAATAATCACTATTAGCTGCCACTACATGGCATCTTAAATGCATGCACTAGAAATTCACTTTTAAAAAAGATTTTGCTGTTTTAAAGTGCATGACATCTAGCTTCTACTCTCTTCTCTGTTATGCTTTAAATAACACACTAGATATTTTTCTGTCACCACCACTGCCTGGTTTATTTCTTAAAAAGATTTAATACTTTAGGAAAACTGCTTTACTGTTTAGTTTACATAAAAACCATATTCTGTATCTGAATGGGAAGTTTCTGATAAAAAAAAAAATCTCCTCCTTAATTCTATTTTTATTTTTCCAAATGATAATCATTACTGGAAACCAGATGTTTGAATGACTACAAAGGTAATTATAATGAAGTTCACATGATTTTTATGGAACCTGCTTCTGCTATTAATCTCAGGAAAGATGAAAAAAATAAAAATCAAGAAGTCTGATAAATTATATGCAAGTAGTAAAATCCCTAGATAAGTTCAATGGACATGATGACTAATGCTTGCTAAGAATTTCACCCAAAGCAAGTAAATCACCATAGCTTCTGTGAAAATTTAAAATTGGAAAAAAAACCCCCAAACTTGTGTGAACCCCTAAGAAAGCCTAGTAGTGCCATCTGTGTAGGCTTCATCAAATGAAAATATAGCAAGATGCAGTTACAGAAAAGAAAAGAACACACTTTGAAAAGCACAATTTTAAAAATCTCGAAAGTCACAGGAAGTCTTTTCAGAGACTGTTGTTCTTCAATAAAAGTACCATATAAGCTGTAAATGATCCAATACTCCCAAGGTTAATTTTCAATTTTCACAGTGAAAGGTTACTATTACGTTCTGACCTGTAAATTGCATCTTTCTACTAATACCCTATCATCTCATTTGTGTCCCTTTGCAGCTAGGACTTAAGTGTTCTATATTTGGTGACTCACATCTGTTTATTATTTCATTTATGCTTGGCTTCACCTACCATTTGAATTAGCATTTTGCAGCACAGTCATTTTTGATTCTTATACCTGGCCTACACACAACTGCATATATTTTTTTTTCTTTTAAATTGATCAATGCAAATACCATAGCAGAAATAGGCAATAAGGCTCATGAGTCAAACAGATGCCTAAAAGGCAACTGAACAAACTTGAGAGCAAGACATTAAGTTTGACTCTCATCATTCAGAATGAATCAGAGCAGCTAGACCTTAAGAGCATCCAGAACATAGCCAGACCTTACCATTAAATATCTGAAGCTTTTAGAATATACAAATTAAAAAAAAACCGAAGTATTTTGCAAATGGCATGAAAATCTAAATTATAAGTCTTAACAAATAAATATATGCTGAATGGCTGGCTGTACAGAGTTCAGAAAAAGGATTCTTAGCTAAGTCGCTCTTCTTGAGGTTTCTCCTCTTCAAGTATATTCTCTTCAATACGTTTCTGAAACCTTACATTAAAACGGTCTTGCAATCTAGTGTGCACACATCAAGAACCCCTAGAATGCCAGGTCAACGCAGCAGCTGTGGCTTCTACAGAGCTTGACATATTCGATGGAGTCAGATAAAGCAATCAAAGCTTAGACAAGCACAGAAGTCTTTGGTGGCGATGCTACCATTTTGCTTTAAAAAAAAAATCCATCCTAATTAAAATATTTATTTGCCAATAACCATTAATTTTCTAACACTCACAGACGAAATGTGTCATCTTTCCTGAACCCAGGTTAGGGAATATTTTGTGGATCTCATCTGGCTTATCACCAAGCTTCCCTTCTATGTAAACTGGCTGCCTGGGAGAGAGAAGTACATTGGTAGATATAGGATCCTCCCACTACTGAGACACAGGTGTGTACCTGAACCCACTAACTGTGTAGTGTTCCCAGGACAGGTAATGTAGGTGGAGTCGGAGAGAGCTTCTGTGGTTTCTAACTTGCTAGTTGTCTTCTGCTCAGTAGCAGTCCAAAGGGTAACGACAGCTATCCACTTCTCGCATGACGCGGTCAAAGTAGCAACATCCAAATTAGGAAGCAACAAATGGAAATGCAACAGATCTGACAAAAGCTATTGTGAATCACTTCTTGTTTAGTGTTTCTTACCCAAACCTAGAAACATCTTTCAGATGTTTCTATTTACCACATGCCCACTGTTAAGTTCTGTTTGCCTCTGCCAGTAGTGTCTCTCCACTAGAGGCCACCCAACCCTCAGAGCTTCCATAGTTCACAGCCCCAAATACCAAACTCTTCACATTACCACAGCACAGATTTCCATTCAAAGTCAGATTCAGAGACTTCATAAGGAAACCCTCTCAACTCAAGCAGTAACTGTGTGACTCACAACGTAATCTACAGCAGTACCAGCTGAGGATGTGGAAGTAGCTTCTCTGAGCAGGATGGTGTGTCTAGCTCAGTTGCCTGACAAACATGTGTGACTTGAGGGGCATGACGAGAGGAAACTTCAGAAGCACTGTTGTTACAGACAATGGCAGCCCTGCATACTAATTCTATGTTTTGGAGACATAATCACCTCATTTGTTTAGAAATGTTCACTTACAGAAGTAAATCAAAACAAGCAGCTTATAAATATCTCCGGTAGTTTCTAGAAAGTTCCATAAAGTACACAAGATCTTTAAGTGACAATGATGCAGTTACCTATCTTGTCAGTCACAAAACCTAAGCCTACTAGACTCAGGAAAATTAATAGTTAAGGACCTCATAAACCCCGTATCAAGCACAGAAAAAAACCCAAACCCCTTATTCCTGTTCTGGATTCAGAACTGCATATTTAATTAGAACATTAGACTGATTTTAACCTAAAATAAATACTAATCAAGAATTTAAAAAAACTTCAGAAAACCTGTAAACTGATAGGCCAAAAAATCTTGGTAAATCGTAAACCAATTACATTATAACTTTTTTTTTTTCAACTATAGTGCCAACATTTTAAATTTTTTTTTTTTAATGGAAAAAGATCTCTTCTACAGTAAGTCCTATTAGCTTGTCTCCCACTTAATAATCCCAATGAAAATAATTATGTGGCAGAAAATGCTACAAATATCTAAGCATATGAGTCAATAGCCAAAATTAGGGCTGACATGTAAGATGAAACAGATTGTCCATAGAAAGCATTTAAAGGAACAGCCATATCTTTATTTACTTTCAACTGTAAGGATGAAAGAGTTAAGTACCTCCCTGCCCTACCAAACAACAGGAGTTTGCTTCTCTCTGGAGCGGTGTTAGATGGCTTTAGGCCATTCAATCAGTATGTACAGGACTCTTCCTTACATAGCCCAACTCAAAGCCCATCTCTGAATTCTCCTGACCTTTCCTGTGAGGGCGAATAACTTACACAAGGAAGGGCACTCTCATTCCCTCTCAGATTAACATCTTCCAAAAGCTTTCTCTGAACCAACATGAAATATCACTTATCACCCTTATTAATAATTTTCAGTTTGGGGAATGGCAACACTGAGTCCCTTTGCTCTGTGGAAAATGTAACTACCTCTAGTTACTTGTCATCTTGGGAGCATGATGGCATGAATAAGTCCCAGTTAAAGAAAGTCTGATATCATCACTTGAAAGAATGAAACACGCCTTGCCTTTGGGCACACAGGGTTATAAATCCACGAAGTGAGGTATTTGAAGCACCCTGCTGAAATCTGAAGACCTTCAGTTACTGGGTCAATCCTAAAAGGCTGTTACTGCTTAGCAGAAGACCAAAAAAATGCCCTAAGGCTGGTTTTGGTTGCTTTAGATAATACATCAATCAGGACTCGAACATACAAACCATCATACTACTACCGCTCCCTTTCAATTCTGGGCTGTTTGGAACTTAGCTGGTCTTTGGAACCTAATCCACTAATTTTGTTTTTTATAATAGAATATTTTGAGAGAGAAAGCAGAAGTGAAAAAAACCACCCCAACCACCCACCCCACACTTAGCTTATGTAAATTGGAACAGAGATTGAATACTTACGTTTTATCAACCAAGACAGAATAGCAATATATTTCTATGAAAAAAAATATTCAAAACCCTATTTAGACTGAAACTGTCAAGGCCCTGAGCACACCCTCCTTCCTAGGAGTTTAAGCAGCCGCGTTCAAGGCCAGCTCACTGTTAACAGCTGTGATGAAGAAACAGCTTGAAGGAGCCTCCATGGAGGCTGCCCTCCCCCTTTCACTTGGCTCTCATGCTTGGTCCTGAGCACGCTACATTGCAGTCACATTGCAGCTATACCCACATCAACCACGTATCCTGCTGACCTGGCCCTGATAGGCAGACACAACCTCCTGGCTTTGGACCTGCCTCACTGCCATGAACTTTCCTTGCAATCACCAGACTGTGGCTAATGCTGGCTGCTTTCTCAGGACCTGATCCTGATTTAATGATTTGACTTCTTGGCTTGAACTGAGACGTGCCTCATCACCACAGACCTGTACAACAATCTATACTCGACTGTCTCTGGTTTCCATCATGGGACATGCTCTTTTCACCTTTCTTGGATATTGTGGGGCTGTACACCTCATCACTGAGGCCACTGCCTCTAGCAGCCCGGCTATCATGCTCAGCTCCTGGCTTCTGGCTTCCCTTTCCTTGCAGGCCAGCCTGCCACTGCTGCTCCCTAGCAGAAATACCTAACTGCTCAATATTTACAAAGCATTGCTCAGAACAGTTGATGAAGAACTAGTTGTCACTTTCAACATATAATATTCCCTTTTGAGCTAACATCAGTTTAAGAAAAAGATCCACCGCCTCACGGCTGGCGTTGGCAGTTTTTTTCCACCCCATCCAGCAGTTTGGGAGTTCCCCCACAGCTGTGCTGACAGCTTTTCTGGAGCCATGCTATGAACCTGACCACTTAAACTGAAAAATGACCCACATAAATAAAAGCTTTGAAGGTTTTGGCATATATGAGGAAGCAATTTGTAGGGTGAGAAAGAAGGACTAGGGATGGATAGTTTTTCTGCTTAGAAGAATTCTCATGTAACCAACCTTCATTTATTTCAGAGTATTTAACAGCATCTTCACTTCAGGCAATAGGATCTACTTTCAAAATCAGGTTGCTGTGTAAGGTATACATTATATGTTATATGTGTGGTATTTTGAAGTTAAGGCTATTGGTTTGGAAACAGGGAAGAAGCAGTGAGATTTCTTTTTCCCACTGCCCGAGTATTCCCAACAGTTTCTGTTTGGGTTGTCCAACAACACCACACATGTTTCCAATTGGCACTGATTTGTTTATATTTATAAACAATGATCTGATAACTAACATTTGCAGTCCACCACTTTTCATTGAGAAACTTCATAATTAAAATAAAATTATTAATTTAAAAATACAGCTTGATCATGTGAAAAAACTGCCAATCAATATTCAAGACAAGCTATGGAGTAGTTATTCTTTGTGGGTCTCGAAGGTCATGAAAGTGATGGTTTTATGCTGAGTGATTTGCTTTTCACAATACATTGACAAAACAACACAATTAGTCTTGCTTCAATAAGCACACACAATAAAATGAATTAAACAATACAACATGTCTCATACATTACAGCTTCACTTTTGTAAACACAAAAGCTGCTTCACTAAGGGCATATCATTTCCCTGTCTGTTTTTAAATGATTGGCTTTGTATTCTTGTAATTAATTTTAGCAACTCTGTTGTCTCTGGACAGAAATGTTGGAATTAAGTAACTGACCACACTTTAAGGTAGTATTTAAATATTCAAAATCCTGGAATTAGAAATGCTTGAGAATATAACAGTGCAGGACAAAGCATAACCAATAAATAGCTGGTTTATGAGAGTAAGCAGTCATTAAAAATTCTGACTGATCAATCTTTTCTGACCAAGGGGATCAAAGGTCTTCAAAGGCTCCTGTTCATAGCATGCCCCTGAATTGCTTGGGTCTGTAACCTTTGAACTCCATTGCTTTACCTACTTAGCTTATATCCTTTTATGATTGTTCATTACATTAAGGTAGCTGGCTTTCTACAGATGAGCTGAACCCACACCTATGATGGCCAAGTAGGAACCATTTTCATTTTTTTCAGTGAGTTCTCAGTGAATGTTTATTGTTTGCTATGCTACAGCTGTAGAGGACAAGTGACAGACAAATGAAACTTTCCACTCTTTCAGAGAAAATGAAATATTGATCACTTATCATAAGAAACAAAGAGCCTGGCATAAGTAGGGTTCACATTAAGAATACAAAATCAGTTACTTATCTCAGGTTACTCTAACAATAGATAAATACATCTTTTATGATGAATGTACCTACTTCTAAATGTGCATACTTTGTTATGGTTATATTTTACCTGTATATGGATGCACACATACACACACAGATGTGAAGAGTTTAAAATGAATTCCTCAAGTCAATTCTGTAAGTGTATAGCGTGTCAACATATTACTAAACTGCTTCTTATACTTTCCTACATGGAATAATAGTTTATACTTACACATTGTTCTCTGCTCTTTATATGCTATGGTGATATCATGCAATATTATATAATGCAACAGACAACTGTGCAAATAACATCTTCTTTCAAAAGACTGCAATCAAGCCAGATCCATAAACAAAATCTAAGAGAACAGAGTTGTAATGTTGAGAAAGTACAATGCATAAAACTGGTTAAGTCTATTAAATGATAATGTTGCTTATTAACCAAATATGTTGTGATAGGTCAGTACTGAGGTTAAACAGAAAACATCAATTGAACCATTTCCCTAAATAAAGCTCCAGGGTGCAATATTCAAAGCACTTTATTCAATAAAAAATGCTTTTAAAATGGTACTTTGGTGATTGGGAAACATTGGCATCATCCGTCAACCTAACTGCAGGAAAGTTCAATAAGCTAAATAATGAACCATTTACATTATTTTCCTTAGGCTCCAGTGATTTGCAAACATTGCATCAATACAACTCTTTAAAAAATTATGATAAAGACCTGCTAGTCTTTCAACTCTTAGGCTTTTTGCTGTCATGCTGCAATTTTTATGCTGTTTAAATGTTTTTTGTAGCTTCATCTTTTTATAAGACTCCACTTAGCATCAATTTCTCATTATATTAAAGCATATTTGCTCAATATGATAATTTTACTAGTGTTTCAAGCATTATCTTTGAGAAACAAAACGGAAATATAATGCTGTCTGTTCTAAAATGTAAGTTTTTCATTCCACTGTCATATAGTTTGAATGTATGAGTCCAGATGATTAAAAAAAAAATTATGATTAAAAGGATACCTGTGCTTTCTCTTCCTTGAAGCACTAACAGTTTCTTTGTTGCTGATTTCCTCTTCCACTTCCCCTTCCACCCTGAGTCCCAGATCTGTCGTATTAGCACTTTATCAACTCTCCTTTCCTCTTTCCAAGGTCAAATTCCCTACTGTCTTCCCAGGGCATCACTTGCATAATTCTCAAGTCTTACAGCTGTTTCCTTTAGCAAATATGGAAGGAGAATTGCTCTTTATGGTAATATTTTCAGGTTCCAAACAACTGAATGAATATACAAAAGCCCACAGGGAGAGAAGAGCAAGTGGGAGAAAAAGCTCATGTAGTCTCTCTTAACTGCACGTTTCTTCACCCAATTTACTAATACCTTTGGCTGTTAAAGCACAATGTTTAGTTAATCCATAGCTGTCATTGTATCTTCACAGGTAGATACTTGCTCATGCAGTCTTTCATTATATTTAGCAATACCTCGCAGGCTCGTTACACTAGTCTATTTAGTGATTATGAATATATGTGCATATGAAAATTTGTACACATCTGCATAATACAGGTCATACATTATACAACTACAGTAACAAACTATATTTACAGTGTACCTCTGGCATAAACAAATGCAAATCCAACATTCTCAATTCATAATGCAGATCAACCCACACCATATAACACCACATATAGTATCATGGATTATTGATTTTAGCCAAAGAGCAGCATCTCAAGTCCTGCCTAGAGTTTATTTTTAAAATGTTTTGACTGCGACTTTTTAATCACTGAGAACCAGCCACTTCTTTACATTCTACAATCCTTTGACACTGTGAACTGTGTTTATATCATCTGAAATGCATCTTAACGCTTGCTTATTTGGTACTACATGAAGACAGACTTAATTTTATTTCTTGTATTCCTAAATACTTGTTATAGACTTGTTACTTTTAGCAATTACAGCTTGCAGTTTGAATTGCTGAAGTTTTGTTAGTATTACATATGGTGATATATTAGACATGTAAACCAAATGTAACAGGCTATGCTATGGCAAGATGAGATTTGTGAAAGAAGTATTATCTTGTACTAGATCAACTTGTATAGCTAGAAAAATATACAGGCTTTCAGATACACACTCCCTTCTTCACATCTTACAACCACCTTGTTTTGATTATGGCTAAGCTACCGTGGCTACAACACCAACAGTACATCCAAGCTTCAGACACTGCTAGAATTTCTTTAAAACAAAGACACCCCTCAATCTGCTCACTTTCAGAGCCAAACCAACCTCAAAATACTCTATTTCTCTATTTTACTGTATCAAGTACATACGTGTTTTTATAAAGTGAATGAGCTATAATTAGTTTTTATGCTTACTTTGCAGTATCTTGAAACTTGAGCTTTGCCTCTCTCTTCTAATATCTTTTTAAGATCGAATTTTAGGCAATCACTTTAGGCCCCAAAACAGGATTATTCGGAACAATAACTCAAATCCACTGATAGCAGTGGGTTTTGTTTAAAGTTTGGATTTCAATGGAAGGCAAATACATGTTTTTATTGAAATGGGGTTTTAAATTTGTGCTATACTTGATGCAATTTTGACTGAACCCTGACGATTATGAAGCTGCCTAGGGTTTGAAGCTCAAAAGCTTTTCTATGGGAGTATTTGAGGTTTGCGGTTTTTTTTTTTTTTTTTAACCTGTTAAGAATCTACACGTACCACTAACTGGCAGCGTTTCTAGCTAATGTACCTGGATGTCCATCACTCAAAGCAGTTTCATATTCCCTTTTGCATGTATATGCTAAGATTCATATATAGATTAACATTTTGAGAATACACCTAATAACTTTAATTGCAATACTCAACACAGTATTGATCCTCCAGCAGTGACTTCACAGACCTTTTAGCCAAATAATTGAAAACACTTATGTAACAAAGAAACACCAGCTCTTTCCTACAGCTGTAGAGGAAATAAAACCAGATTACTGCTAATTTTAAAGAAATCCCAGCCTAAAACACTCTTCTTCCACTGTTCTGTTCTTTTTAACTTAGCTTATCCTGGTTTTTTATGAGATGTTAATTTTTCCACCCTTGCATACTAACCTCATCAGGGCTGGAAGCCTGGTAAGTTCGATTTTCATCGCTGAAGTCCTGATCCACCTCTGCATATTCTGTTTCTCCAGACACACCAGCCCGGGATTCATACACTGGGGTCACATTGTGGCACAGTGCAATGGCCTTCACTGCTTCGTGTATCCGACTGCTGACACTCTTGCGGACTTTGGGTGCAGATGACTGAGATTTCCTAGATGGTGTTGAACTTGTACTGTTTCCACTATTCTGAGAGTGCACCTTTAAGACCCAACACAATGAACAGTAAAACAAAGTTCAATAATGGAAACAAAACATCAATACCTATATATATATATGATTGTTCCCTTTACAAAGGTTGATAAATGATAAAGACAGTAACCATTTATGTATTTTATATAAACTAATATTAATTCATTCAGTTTGTGATGCATAAAAACCCTCATCTACTTTTCTGTAGAACTGATACATAATGGTGGGTTCATCACCTTGCATTTGTAGTCAGAGCCTGCAGACAATTGAAAAATGTGAAATGAAAACAAGTATGCAGTAAAAGGGGTGAACAGGCCAGCTGGATTCTGCAGAAAACCCTGCTTCCTAACTTCAGAACTTACCTTTTTCAGTGATCCGTCACAATAGTCCTTTACCATCCTTTACATTCTATGAATTGTTTTTTAGAAAGTATTTAAGCCAGCAACCATCTGGATGAATTCAGAAACACCAAAACAAAACTGCAAGGGTGGTGTTTTGTTGTTGTTCTTCCCTAGTTTCTTTGTCACCTGTGTACATTCAGAGGTTGGAAACTCCAATGCCATTAAATTGAAAAAACCCTTTCCTTTTAAATCTTCACCTAAATCTCTGTATTTTAAAGACCACCACATTAGTATGGAACAAAAGAACAAAAGCAATATCATTGTTAAGTATAAATATTAGGAGTCATTAATATACAAATATCGCTGATTTAATTTATAACCTACACATTTTCTGTATTATTTGTGAACTAATGCAGTTTGCATGCTTTTGCTGCAGGCTGAGATTTGTCCTTACAAGAATGCAATATCTAATAAAATAATCATGCAAAATAATAGTTTGACACATATTTGAAGATCACATTACTTTTGGCATAACCACTAAACTGGCACTGTTTTAAGTTATCCTTCAGAAATGCTCAAGCACATGACTGAATGAATCTTTTAAGAGAAAGTACTATATGTTCATAATCAGTTGAAAATAAGTGGGTTTTGGGGTTTTTTTGGTTTGTGTTTTATTGGGGTTTTTTTGGTGGTTTTGTTTTGGGTTTGTTTGGGGGCTTTTTGGTTGGTTGGTTGGTTTGGTTTTGTGGTGTTTTTGTTGTTGTTGTTTTTTGTTTGGTGGGTTTTTTTTTTAAGTCAGCACATGAAATATATCAGCAGGACTACCAAAGGCTCTTCTATTCACTCCAGGGTAACTCAGAAAACCTCTTCAGAAACCACGCTTTTTTCCTCCTGACTGCAATCTGCAAAATGAACCGTGAACATTCTGCCCATCAAATTACAGTGTTGTCTAATAAAGGGTTTAACTTTCTGCTCATCTGGCACTGCTTTTCAGCTACTGCTTTAAACTTCTGCATTTGCATTCTGCTAACACTGATGCCATTACAGCCGCAAATAAATTAAGCTGATTTACTCCTTCTGAATTATGTTATGTTTATTGATGCTTGTATAATTTAATTTCACACAAATTCCATTAAAGATTATGCCCTCTATCACAAAATGCTTCCAGTGGGGAAATATAATCAGGTTATAATAGATTTGTGTGTTACATTAAGATGACAATAGTCTAGTAGGTCCACTGTAATAATAAAACAGAACACAAACAAGGGATAAAATCAATGTCACACAAGAACCACTGCCTAGCTAACTGGCAGCTTCTATTATCATAGATTAAATAAAAACCTCACCATACTTTTTCAGACTGAAACAATTGTTTAATAGTTGCTTGTTTTGTTACCGAGATTCCTTCATTTTTCTGTTTTAAAGAGCTGCTACCAACAGATAGATAATTAAAGCATTATTTAAACATCAAGTAGTATTATATAAAGCTGAAAAAAAAGAAGTTCCAAGAAAGTTCTTTCATCATCTACTAACAGCAAACCTAGATTTGGGAAATCTTTTCCCACAAGAGAGGAAAAAAAAGCTTCCCTCACATTTCTTTCTTTTAAAAATTTCAGTGCCAAATATGTTACAGTTATTAAAAACTTAATTAACCATGGGTACCACTCATTAAGTTGTACAGCAAACTAGCAAAAGCTTTAAGCAAGTAAGAATGCCAGGAATCATGCAGTTCTTTTCAGATAGCATATTTAACCCCAACATGTGAAAACGGTGTTAACGAATACGCCTCCTCTAGAAGACTGGTGCTTAGTCATCAAATTCAGACCTAGGCATGCCTGCTCAAGACTGTCAGTTAATATCATTTATTGTTACGGTTGTTGAGGTGAATACCCAAACAACCCATTACAACAAAACTATGTTTGGGTGATTTTTATAAACATAATCAGGTAGCAACTACTTTCAGTAACCAATTCTGAACCAAATTTGGACTGCTGATCTTTAGGTAAAAGAGCTCCATATCTCATTTCCAAGGCTTATTATTGCATCTCAGTTACTATTCATGGCTATACCTACTAAGAACTAAGCTGAAATAGATTTATCCAAGGAAAAGGAATTCAAGAAGTGGATTTGTTGATCTGTTTAGATAGGAAATAATACAGAAATTGAAGTTGCAGACTAAAAACTTATAACATACATAGCTTATTCACTGCTTTCCCTCCTGCCTCTCTTCCCAAAAGCTACATAATATTAAGAGGCCAGCATGGTGTCAAACAGCTACTCTTTAGTTTTTCTTTTAAGCAAATGAGAAAGGAGCCATAGTTCAAAACACAGCACAAGTAAAGATTCAAATCAGTTGTTGATCCTAAAATCCTTTTACAAGAGAAAATGAGGACACAGACAAGGAGGTCAGTCTACAAGCTTAACCGGGTCAGCCAGTCATGTTTGTGTTAAGTTAACCATGGAAAAGAACTTTTATATAAAGTTTTATTATCATACTGTACATAACACATGGAAATATTAGTTAGGCTATCATTTATTTCCTCTTCTGTCAATCATCATCTTTTTTGTTTCAGAAACAGAAATAAAAAAATAAAGTAAAAAATCCTTCCTAATCTCAGAGTGGAACCAAGTGCTTAGAAAGGTTTGCAAAAAGCACCCAAAGAGTTCACTTACATGGGAGATGCAAGTGATGTTTGCAAAATTCCATCTTCCTCCTTCATCCCACAACTGACCCATGGACAGTCAGGGAGCCACAATCCTCTTGTACACTTGCCAGACCAAGCACTCATATATCACAGGAATACTTCGCTCTCATGCAATATGGAGTTTTCCATTCCTGCCCACTCCAGTTTTATGCTCTTTGCAATCATCTTAATTTTTTTTAAAAACACTTTATATATGCCTTTATAAATTTTATTTTGACAATTATTTTTTTACTTTTTAGTTATACCAGTTGATGTGGTTTTTTAATGTCTATTCTTAATATCTTCAAAGATATAATTCCTGTTCATCTTGTTCTGGACACTTGTATTTGTAGTCTCAGTAATGAATAGCTTACTCTTAGATGATTTGGCAACAGAAAGACTGCTCTGCACAGACAGGTTAACACAGACTTGTGCTAGTGGGAATAGAAAAGTAAACCCCTTTAAGTGGGTATTACGAGGAACTTCAGAATCAGGAGAACTACATACTGTCTCACATTTTTCCGTTTCATCACACATCTGTTAAGAGATACCTACAAATTAAAGAACTTTCATAGCATCTCAAATTTCTAGACATAATCAGTAACAACAATGCTTCAATGCTGTTAAAAAAAAAATCTTAATATTAAAGGTAAATAATTTATGAAATGAGATACCTGTGAATAAGAGTTTATAATATGACTCTGAATTTCATCCATTGTGTCTGTTCCATAGGACACAGTACCTAGGTGGAGGCGCTTAAATATCATCTCATTCTGTGTAAGTGTTCCTGTAATAAAGAAGTAGTATATCACAAAGCAGCAAAAAATACCGTGAAAAGGCCACAACTGCTCCCCCCGACCCCCCCGCCCTGAAATCTTTCTTTTGGAAAGAAGGAATGAATCATGAGTTAGCATCAGTTTAGTTAATTAAAGGAATGTTTGTGGAGAAAGATCAGGGTTAATCATACTGGAAGAAATCACTGGACCACCTTCAAGCTGATTCTGCCAACACAACTAAATATACAAGCTCGAAAAAAGAGAAACACTTTCTCTTCATATGAAAGATAGAAATGCAGCATCTGGATGGAACTGGCTCTCAAAAGCCAATGCAAGAGTTTGTGCCATGTATCAGAAAATCTAAAGCAAAAAAAAAAAACCCAACCCCAAAAATTCATAAAGATATCCCTCACTTTGTGTACAAAGGCAAACATTCCAGCAAATGGGCACATTCAATGTTATCTAGAGTATGTCATTAAGACCTAACATCACTTCCAAATTTGACAGGTTTAGCCTCCAACCGGAATAAGCCAGAATGAATGAAATCAGTGTTTTCAGAGCTCACTTCACATTTGTAAGAAACTACAGGGTGTCAGTCACAGACTGACACTTTGTGTCCACCTCTATTGCATCCACCTCTGCCAACTAGTCACATCCTCTGGTTTGGAAAAGCTCTAATTGAGGGGTGGGGGTTTCAGCCTTCCATGATGGGGCAAATCAGGCAAGAAGAGGTCACTACCGCCTAGCTTCCCATGGGCAGCTCACAAAAGATTATTTTGACAATGGCCCTTCCTAAAACTTTTTTCTATGGTTACTCAGCCGAAGTGAAATTAATACAGGATAAAGCTATTCTAATATTTAACCACACAGTTTTGGGTCACTAACATACATAAATCTGATGATAAAAAACCCAAACACAACATGGTACCAAACCTTGAAGCTCTACAATATTTTTAGTATAGAAGATATGATAATTATCTATAAAGAAGAATGGCAGAATAAAATATTTCATATTATTTAACTAGACTATTTTTATATCATGTCTTTGTCCCAGTATGCCAAAATACAGAGTAAGCCACAGGAAGAGAGAAGACTCAAAGCATGACATATGCTATAATTACTATCTGGAAAACAATTGTTTGGATAGTTTGCATCCAGTTTATGCATCTAACAGGGCTAGAACCATTAGTGATCTTCAAAGATTCGGTAGGGCTGTAAAAGTCTCATGTCTTTCTCAGTTATAATCGAGATATCTGCTACTCTCGCTCCTTGGTAATACCTGTACAATGACACTTCACCTCATTTGTTGTACCATCACACTGCACTATCAAACCACATCTTCCTGTATTACCAGCACTAGATAATAATTCCAAATTCCCCCTCTATCATTAAAGAAAATAACATTTCCCCTTTTGCTTTTCCTTACATGATGTTGAGGATTTTTTTTCTAGTCATATTATTTGATTTAAAAAAATATTTAAAATAAGGTTTATGAGAAATACATAAATTCTCCACAAAATATGCATAACATCATCAAAAATTCACATGAGAAGAAGAGTATTTCCAAGGTTGGAAAACAGCCCAGGAAGACAAAGACAAATTCTGTAGAATTAGCAAGTCAGAAATTTTGGGTTACTTTTATACAAGGGATAAGAAGATTTTTTTTTTTTTTTACAGTAATCATATAAAACCATGAGAAATTACTACTTCTGCCTTTAGAAGCTGTACTGTAGCTTTAGAAGCTTTATTAAGACCTTTTGTTAAGTTTGTTGATTAAATTTTTTACTTTAATTATAGACTAGAAAAATCCAATCTCTGGTTTGCACAGGAGAAAGATGAAAGTTTCCACTAACAAACATGAGACACTAAAATCTCCATTTCTAAAAAAATCCAAAACAAAACCAAAATCCACCCACTTTGTTCAATAATGTTTATTGCACAAAATTTCCAAGTAAATCTGCATCACCTTCCTTACTTTCCAGGCATGCTAATATCTTCTCACTGCCTTTAGCTCTGCCGAGCCTTTGATTTAAAATAAACACTCCCTAGGAATTGTGAAACTAAATGCTACTCAAAACTTGAGACAGCAGGCAACTGTCAAACCCGCTTCCCACTACTTCTGTAATTGCTGCCTGGGAAAACTGAGCAGGAAACAAAATTAGCCCTATGATTATTATATGGAAAGATTATTTCTTCTGACACCATTAAATCAGTCCAACTCCAAATTGTGCTTGGTGAAGGAAAGGTAGATCGGTAGCAAATTTGTGTATTCCCCCCCCAACCCCTTCTCAGCAAGCAGAGAAGAAAAGCTTCTGAGCAGAAAAGTATGGATTTTCCTATCTTGCAACAATCAGAAGCCAGGGAAGGAGGTTTAGGAAAAATGGGTGAGGAAAAAGAATCAACTTGGAAAGACATGGAAATAAATATTCTGGCAATCCTGATTCAATACTTGCATCTTATACATTACTTATACGATCCTTTTTATTGGCTACAGTAATAGGAAACATCTACGACATATGAAAAGAGGCTGCAAAAACACTGCTACACAATATTGTAGCAGTGTATCCAAAGAATAAAAAAAACAAAGAAAGAAAAGAAACAACAATTGCAGTTTGCTCTTGCTTCTTCAGACTAGTGTAAGGCTTTCAACAATAGTCCCAATAAACCTGATGTGTTATTAGACAAACAGCTGCATTTATGAAAGTGCTCCCAAAAATTTCTGCAAAAAGTAAAACAAAATATACTTTTTTCAGTCATCCACATGGAAGTTAAATTTCACCATGTATGCAAATTAAAAATTTACTTCTAAATTCTCCTAATGAATGAAACACCAAAACAGGACAGAAACGTTCCCAACAACCTGTTCCAAGTATTACATGGTGCCAATCAGTTACATTATAACTTCAGCAGCAGTTCTGTCTTAAATTTTAGTCTTTTAGTTGAAGACTAATACCCTTTGACAAAGCAACACATCTTTTATTTTATGCCCCAAAATGCAAGCCCTTCAAATATCTAGAGGTAGATTTTCTAATATAGCCCACTTTAGGAATGAAAAACAACCCAAAACTGAGCTCTCTAGTCTGCTCAAGGTGATAAGTACTAAAGAATAGTGAAAGAGCTTTCTATTTTTAATAATGCTTTTTTCAAGACCTACTTATCAATTCCACGCTTTCAGGACACTACTAACATGGAGAGTTCTTAGATAAAAAAAAGCTTATTTTAGAAAAGGTCCCAGAAATTATGCTAGTCAATATACGATCTACTACTACTATTATACATTCTTAAACTTTACGCTGGAATGCAGGTACCATACAAGGAAAATATCCTGACAAAAAGTTAGTATACAATTGCTGAAGAAAAATTTAGTATGTTCTTTAATGAAGCCAAGAGCTTCCCCGCCCCCCCCCCCCGACCCACCAGCGCCTC